TCGAGGGTGCCTTTGAACCCTACATTACCCAATTGAGGGGTTTGTAAGGGTTTAGGGTGGAGGGTCTAGGGAGTCTGGGTTCCCCTAAACCCTAAATTTCGGGAGTTTTGGGGTTTTAGGGCCTGGTGGGTCGAGCCTGGTGGGTCGAGTGTGAAAGCCACGGGCTCCAGAAGACCCAAAGCAGAGGCCCTCCATGAGACCCAAGCCTACTAGTGATGAGGGTTTAGGGGTTGCAGGGAGGGGTTAGTTCGGGTTTCGGAATTCGAAAGGCACTTTAGACCACTTTGGAAACTCTATGAAATCCGACTTGAAAGAGCCCTTCGAGAATACCAGCAGTAAAACCGTAAAACCTAAGCCTCCATATAAACCCTAACATCCGGAACCTAGACCCTTGCAGGCCCGAAACCCGAAACCCTAGACCAACAAGCAACATCAGGGCCCGCTTAAAATGAGCCCGTGGAGAGCACCTCCAGAGGCTTTGTTGTTAATGAGTCGGTGAAGTCAGCCTGGGAATCGTTTGGTCCATGTTCCAGAGGCCCTCGAAAAAAGGGGTTCTATGAGGGTCCTTGTGGGGTTCTGTCCGGGTCCTCTCTACAGCAAGGCTTCTTGATTTTAGGGTTTAGGGTTTAGGGGACAGGTTCAGGTTTCCGGGGCCGTTTAAGGTCTCAGGATGTGCCGTACATGGCGCTTGTGTTGTCGTGTCGAGGGGGTGGCATCTACACTTCTGTGTTCCATAAACCCTAAACTCTGGTGTCTGTGTGTCGTGTGCGTGTGCAAGTGTTTCATTGTTCCTCAGCTACACTTCTTTGTCCCTAAACCCTCATCCTCGCCCCAAAACTAGACGGTGCGTGAGTGTGAGTGTCTTCGCATTGTTCGTGGGGTTCATTATTCGAAGCCCTATTTGGGTGCGACGAGTTTGGCTATACGGATTGCATCGCTGCCAGTGTACAATTGAGCCTTAAACCCTAAAAGAGGCCTAACGGTTGTCATTCTACACTTGAGCTCTGAACCCTAAACCGGAAACCTCCCGAGTCGACAAAGGTTTGTACTGCTTTGAGCTCAGGGCTTGCATTCTGGCCCTAAACCCTAAACCCTAAACACCCTAAACCCTAAACCCGTGAAGCCCAAAACACTTAAGCATTCTGCGGCCTTGTTGGCGCAATGTGGGCTTTGGGACTGTTCAGGTCTCAGTTTGGAGCGCGTTTTTCAACTTGGGAGGGTTTAGGGCTTTACAGGTCAATCTTAGTAAACTAAGGCCTAGACGCACTGACCACTCTTGCAAGCAGTTGGTGTGTCTTGTTTGTGTGGCGTTTTGGGAATTGCAGCTTCGGAAGAGAAGCATAGATATCAAAGATGCGTTTTCGCATCGGAACTGACTGACTCCCTTGGCTGGCACGAGAGCCGGGTGAAAGGACATGATGGCGGTCCGGGGACTTTTCCCAGAAGAGGATCATCTTGATAAGCCCTGAACCTTGAAGTCAAGTACTTTTGAAACCTTGTGCGATCCCTTTTATATAGGGGTTTGGGGGATATATCATGGTAGGAGAGACTAAGGGGGGATACTAGTTGGGGCCATATATGTATTATGGTATAGTTGCACGCGGACCAAAGGGCATACTCATACTAGTTGGCTATGCCCTGACTTGAGTTGAACCATGCATATCACGTCCTAGGGCACACATTGTTCCATGCAGGCATGTGTGTGTGCACGCGTCTTTCTGGTTTAGACGCCAGGTCCTGCCATGTATCGTTGTGGTGTTTATGGATTCGTAGGGGCTTCTAATCGGAAGTCGCTGTCCTTTCCCAGATTGTTTCCTTTCACCCTCGATCGGTGCGTGTGGTTGCACCCGTCGGTCTCGCTACTGTGAACTTCGAGGTATCGCCGCAGGGGACGAAGGACGAAGGCGTCCTTCTCTGTTCTGAGATACCGCACCCCAGATTTGACCATGGACCCGAAGCACCCTGAGACCAGACTCCTTGACCTAAAGGGACCTTTCAATGTCGGGGGTTCTAGTCTGTAGCTGCTGACTATTTTCGGAAACTCCCTGAGATGCTTCCTCATTGCAATCTTATGCGAAGCCTCCACACTCGAAGGTGCGGAAGATCCGCTTGGGGTAACGCCCGCCAACCTGCAAAGGTCCGTAGAACCATAGTATAGAGACTGGAGGAACTAGAGATAGTATCCCGCCTCATGATCCCCATGTACTTGTAGTATAGTATACCCGAAAGCCCCATTCTAGTTCTGAAATGGCTTAGAGAAGTTCGGAGAAGTTCATCAGGAAAAGTGGTCTTTGCCCCTGGGCCCAAGCAGCCCCTGTTACGAGCCCCGACCCCCTAAACCCTAAGCCCTGAAACCCCAAGCCCCCTAAACCCTAGATCCTAAGCCCTAAGCCACCAAGCCCCAGACCTTGTCCCTAGACCTTAAACCCTAAACCGCCAAAAAAAAGGGTCCCCTGAGGTGTGACCTGAGGACTCCTCATGAGTCGACCCAAAGTCCCAAAGGGCCCGGAGGACGCAGAACTCTTCGTCGCGGTGGCAGTCGCGGTGCCTTATGGTTGCGGCTTACTTTTACATTAGTAGAAGTAACTAAGCCGTAAGCCCCAGGCCCTGAAGAAAGCCCTAGGCCATGAAGTCCGCACTGCAAGGTAGCAGGTAGGGTTCGGGGTTTTAGGGTTTAGGGCTTGAGGGTCTAGGGTCTAGGTGGGAGCCTGGGTGATTAACAAAGATACGGGGGAGCAGAACTCGTAGAAAACCCATTTAGGGGGAGTTGCAGAAAATGGGACGCCAATGTAAACCTCGAAGCGTAGGGGTCCTTATCAAAGAACACTACTATTGAGAAGCCCCTTGTATGCACGACTCCTAATTACAAGCACCCTGTATTTCGAATTATAGGTTCTTGCCCTCCTTGCGGGCAACTACGACGTATTGTGACACTGCAGCACAAGAACCACCTGTAGAACTATAGACGAGACCCCTTAAAGCTAAGTGACTTCTTGTTAGGGTTTAGGATTTAGGTTTTTGGGTTACCTTCTATACTCTGATCAATTGCTGCGCCGGGCCCGGCGAAGTTTTTCTTCGGAAAGGCTTTCACGCAGTAGGCCTTGCGCCAGAGCTGATGGGGTTTGGCTTCTGAGCTCCAACACCCGCATTGGTCGAACTGTAGGTTGGGCCCGTTGAGGGCTTATATTGGTTTTGGTTGTAGTGATAAGGGTCTGGGGCGGGGTAGGGTTTAGGCGAGGTTTACGAGGATCGGAAATCTCAATAAGGTTTAGTCTAAACTCAGCCCTTGACCCGCGACGCTGCGGCATAGAACCTACACCCCTCAAGTTGCGGAAGGCACACCCTCAACCCCAAGCTCTCCACCCAAGCCCTCAACCTTAACCCGTAAACCCTAAACCCTAAACCCTAAATCCTAAACCCTAAACCCTAAACCTTAAACCCAAACCCTAAACTGGCCCAAAGCCCTTAGCCCCAAACCCCTCTGGATGCCCAAAGAGCCCCAACTGCGATGGCTCCAAAGGGGACCTCGGCTTCTGACTTCGTGCGATCGATCAAGTTGATTCACGGTGCTCCCTCCACTTACTTGGAGGATTCGCGGCACTTCGTAAGGCCTCGCAGGGTTTAGGGATTTAGGGTTTAGGGTTCTGGGCAGGATTGCAAGCAAGAAGGGTCTGTAGGATTATACACAGACGGTCAGAATTAAGTGAGACGGTTGAGTCTATCAAACCCTACACTGCCCTACACCCTAAATAAGAGCCCAGCCCAAGCTTTCCTCACGAAGTCGCTCGATCCTCCAAACAAAGCTCTGTGCAGAGGATGGTCCGACGAAGGGGCGATAGAAGTGAAGACCTCCTCGAGCTCAGGGTTGGTGTCTTAATGTTTAAGGTTTAGGGTGTAGTGGGTGTAGTGGGTGTAGTGGGTTGAGGGTTAGACTTTAGGGTTTAGGGTGTGCTGGGTGTAGGGCTTGAGGCTTAGGGTTTAGGGTTTAGGCTAAGGGCTTGACCTTTAGGGTTTCGGGTTAGAGATATGGGGGTTTCCGAAAATAGGGGACCCTAATATAGAACCCTAAATAGTAGGATCCTTATTGTAAGGACACCAGATTAAGGTACCCCTTATTCTCGGAAACNNACCCCCCCCCCCCCCCATGTGTTGCTGGACCAGCCTCTGGATTCCTGGGTGGCTGAAGCAGCCAAGCAACTTTCAAAGAGAGATCTAGGAGCACATGAACGATGCCACACGCTGGGTGAACTCAGGAATGCTACGAATAGTCGATTCAGCATCATTTTTTCTTTGGCGAAGTTTGAAGAGTTTCGGGTACGGCGATTCGAGGTTTCCGAGTCCTGGGTTGGACAACTTCTGCCTAAACCCGAAGGCCCTAAGCCCTTTGTGAGGTTGTGCGGGCAGGGCGGGGAGTTGCTTGAATTGTTAAAACCCTACCTGAGGCCTCCAAAACCTACTTTGATAAGGACATCTGCAAGGAAATCACAGCAAGGGGCCGGAGAGGTAAGTTTTCAGGGTTAAAGTAGGATTTAAGGTAAAGGTGCAAAGGGTAGAGGCCCTGAGGCGTAAACTGCTGAGTGCCCTAAAGCACGGGGCACCCGAGTTTAGAGGCTAAGGAGATGCACTTTGCACCTTGCCTTCAAAGCTTCTGCTGCAACATGTAATGTAATATAGGTATCGGGATAATTGCGAAAAGCAGCCCCTTCCAGTCCCGATGACCATCACTGCATAGCACATCTCAACACCCTGCTCCGCGAATCGTGCCCCCTACCTTCTGCGAATAGGGATGCCAAGCCGCAAACCCTAAAAGAACCCCTTAAAAGTGAGTGAAGAAACCCCAATGTAGAAACCGGAATACTTGCTAGTGTTGTCGCGTGGGGTTCTGGAACAGAATGTGGCCTCGAGCTGTAAAACCCATATAAGCCATAAGCCCAAAACCCTGCACGCTTATCCCGTCTAGAACCTTTACAAGATTCCCGCAATCTTTTCTTGCGGCCAAGGTCTATCCCCACCTCGGAAGCTTTCGCCGATAAGAAGCGCGGCCGAGTCGTCCGCGCTCTTTGGCCAAATTTCTTGGCATTGGTGGCTTTATGTTCCAGGCATCCTGTTCCGTCTTAGTTTTGTGGAATTGAGGGGTGAGACTTTGGATCAGCTCCCCTCCGAGAAATGTTTTGGGCTGAAGCTCTGGTTGGTGGGTCCAGAAGTTGGGCACAGCCAGGCCTGCGGGGCCTTCTTCGGTAAATCCTAGACCTAAACCCTGAACCCTGAACTCTAAGGTGACGGTTCCGCCTCCATTTCTCTACAGCTCAAGTGACAAGACTAGGGTCTGGTTTAGCATGCTCAGACAGCCTTGGGATGCAGGAAATAGTATCCAAAGGTGTCCCTCCATCTGCATCATCGACTTTGAAACATTGGAGGGTAGGATTCTGGTCCGTTCTTGTTTCGGAATTTCTGCACTTAAGCCGCGGATGCTTCACCGGAGGCATTTGTTCGGTCTCTGTGAACGAGATCCAAGCGTCTCATCCACTAAACCTACCTGTGGCCAAAAAAAAACCTACCTTTCTAGGGTTCCCTATTCGGGTTTCTATATGTAAGTCCGTAAAAAGGTAGGTTTTTGGAGCCACAGGTAAGCCCATCAAGAGAGTGACGGCCAGCCACCGGGCCCCAACCTCCCTTTTGTGGAGAAAACCCCCTTCTCTCCCCAAGCTCTAAAACCCCCCCTAAACCCTAAACCCTAAACGCTAAACCCTAAACCCTAAACCCTAAACCCTAAACCCTAAACCCTAAACCCTAAACCCTAAACCCAAGCCCAAGACCCAATCCCCCAAGCCTAACATGCCCAAACTCAAGCCACAATCCTTCAGTCCTAGACCCCAAACCTCCAGCCCCAAAGCCCTAAACCCTAA